TACAGTGGGTGATCGGTTAACGAACAGATCGGATAACGAACACTTTCGCGAAAGATTTTTATGATCGGACAACGAACACATGTTCGGATAACGAACACTTCACTGAACAAACACAAGAAGAAGCGCGTAAATAACGAATACCGATTGGTCTTCCTTTGTCTCAGGCAACAATTCGAAACTCTTCGGAGCGCGGGAGACGTCGACAACGACGTTCTACCCAGTATATACTGATCGAATAGTATTCCCCCGAATTTGAAACTCTCCCTTGTAATTCCAGCCTTTTATATTTCTGATATGTTTCTATCAGAAATATAAAAGGCTGGAACAATTTCCTTTTATGTTTTCTTCTGAAAAAGAGGATTGATGCCGATATCTGCTATTAAAGATCTTTTGAAGAAGTGGGAGGATGTCAGAACAGTGGTCTTAAAATGGCATCCAAACCAGGTTGAGGTTAATAGGCTTATAGATCTCTACAATTACAATGCTATTAATTACTTCTGAAAAATCATGAAGAAGACAGAAAAGCAATCGACATTGGACAGATTCTTTAACCCCTCACAAACGGAAAAACACGACTAATAAAAATGCAAGCCCGTGTATATATGTATTTTTATTATTACATGTGAATAAACGTAGTAAGAAAGTATATATATTTTTACTTTTTGGGGGGTGTCCAGAACGAATTAATCAAATTCCCATAGAAACCTATGGTAAATCGATAATCGGTTAACGAACAATTCGGATAGCGAACAAAGTCTTGGAACGGGTTATGTTCGTTAACCGATCACCCACTGTACCTTGTGTCAGAAAAAATGGAGCTAAGCCGAAACTGAACGTTTTTAAGATGTTCGGATGGCAGTGAAGTACTGCGCGTTCTTACCAGCAGAGGTTTCGCGCTCAAGTTGGATTCCATACATCTCGGAGGATCCTTGTTAATTAAATACAATTGCATGAAACAGAATGCCTTTAGGCCGTCATCCAAATACTCTCGGTGACAATTATGGAAAATGTTTTGAACTATAATATTGATAATAACAATATTAAATTAATTGTACATTTTGTTAGCAGTTAAAAATAATTCCATGTTATTTCTTGAATATAATACTGTATTTTAAATATAAAGGAAAAATGCATTCTTATATACTGTATATAAGAATGCTTTTTCTTTACAATAATAAATATTATATATTATTGCCTAAATATAAATGCCTTTTATTTAGAAACATCACAAATTGTTTCAGATAAGCCTCATTTTAGTAAATTTCTATTCTATTCTATTCGTTGTCTGGGTTAATATGGAGGCTTTAAGAGCTGTTTCCTCCGTGTATGGCCAAGCTAACAGCTTGGCCATACACGGGGAGTGGATGTGGCGTTCGACGCACCACCTAATTATGTGTTCGTTGAGAATATATAACACTGAAGTCATATATCTCATCATGTGTTTTATTTACTGAACATACAAAAATTTCGTTTTACACTGTCAAGTAAAGGATGGTCGGTTATGACATCCACGTGTAGGTACTGTGTAGTGTACTGTACTGTACATCCATTCGTCGAGCAGAGTTGCCGAGAAGAGGGAAAAAGAATAATGGCGGACGACCTGCACACGCTTCTTCTTCTTGGGGGAAGTTGGACGCTTGCTACGAGGCTTTTGCGTCCTGTGTCTTGTCCTGTCATAGAGTTCATATGGAGATTTCAGCCTCGTAGGCTATGTTCTCCGATTCACCGCCCCCTTTCTTCTTTCTTTCTTTCTTATCTTATTAATATGGAGACTCTAGCCTGTTGGCTTTTTCTCCGAATCACTCCGCTTAGAAATTAGGTAAAGCGGTTGGTGCGGTGAACAAAACGCTCCAAGATTTCGATATGTTGGCGAGGAGGAAGGTCGGTATGAAGCCAGTATATCGGAGTTAAGGTTCGGACGATCGTGAGGTCCAAGGTTAAGAGACGGCCTAGCTCTTGGCGGGCCCGTATGTATTGCGGACAGACAAGCCAATAGTGGACGGAAGTTTCTGGCGAGCCACAGTGGGGGCAATCTGGCGAGGCGCGTTGGCGTCGAGAATGCCACCTCCCTGGTTTGCATCCTGTGGATGTTTGAACATGCTTTTATATCCTCACGCCAGCGCCAGCGCGACCTGGATTTCCAGATGCGGCGTGAAGGTTACAATTATTCGGCCGCCACAGTGAAAAATAATGCCTTTCGAGAGGTCTTTTAATGGTTTCTTTAACCTTTTCCGCCCTGAGGGCATAAGATGGCCTCTTTTTGAAGCCCATTATAGGTTCGGCCAGGCCCACAATGGGACTGCCGGGTGGTGAGGAACGGGGCCCGACATATCGGACGGACAACTCCCGAAAAATTCCTGGAGATTTTTCGATCCCGGGTCCTCCACAGCGGTAGGCTGCATCCGCTCGGCCAGAGGCTTGAACCCACGACCGAATTCCCAGTGTTCGGGGAACGGAACCGCTTGGCCACTGGTGGGCCTAGTAAATTTCTTTTGAATTTTTTAAAATTCAATTTTAACTTAATGATATTATCTTTACTTAAAATAAAGACGTTATTATATAATAAAATTTTAAAATAGTGATACATTATTTTCTGTGTAATTTAATAATTTTCTGTAATTTTTTAAAAATTGTATTGCCCTCTATATAAAATAAAAATATTTTATAAATATATTAAAAATACATGGCAGTATAAATCTAAAATAGTTTCTGCGCATGCCGAAAAGAAGAAACTTAATCGAAAGTTCGCCGAATTTTTAGCTGTCTTATAATATCATTGGTCAAAAATACATTTTATATATAAAATACAAACCTAATATATTTATACGAAATTCATTACTTGCACGCCATATAATAGTTTAGTTATTTTCATAAGTAAATAAACTAATTTAAATGCGTAATAAATGATTTTTTTATGCGGGATTGTTTCGAGCGGGAACAAAAATGGCGTCTGATAAAAGAGACTTTATATTTCATGGAAGAAATTCAATTTTTTTGACAAAATGGAAAGTAAAACCTGGAAATAGGTTATTTCAAGGTACAGTTTTATTGCTTTACGAAACAATTTCGGACACAGATGGGAGTGGAGATGGAAAACAGATGAAATTGAAATCTACTATAGAAGGTACTGTACAAAAGTTAATTGCTCGTGAAGGAGAAGTCGTCCGCCCAGGGTAAGTAAATATAAAGAAAGGACATCATCGACATAAGAAACATTAATCGCTAAATAAAACTTTTATTAATTGAATTTACTTTTTGCATAATTAGAATTATAAATTGTAACTTTAATTAATTATAAATATAAAATTATTTAGGAACTATTTTTTCTGACGTCATCGCTAATAAACAAAATTTAAAATTTGCGCTTTATCCATTGGCTTATTAAAATCACAAACAACCGCGAAAGTTATTGATACCGTGGGAAAAAACATCGATTTTGTAATCGAATTGCGATTGCAAAATAATTTGTAATGCCAGTTGTAATGAATTTTTAAATTTTAAAATTAAAAAAAATATATATATATTTTTTCAATAATTTGTGGAAAACTTTATAAAAACGCATAAAACCTCTTATAGTTTTCTGCGAAAAAATGTTATATAATGTAAAACTTTATATAATTTGGAAATAATCATGTTGGAAAAAATTATCAGTTTTTGGATTCAAATGAATAATCAGTCATGCATTTATAAATTAATTTTTTAGTTAAATCAAAACTTCTTTAAAAATGCGATGAAGCTTATCCCATAACATTAATGAATTTTTATTTAACATTTTGGAAGTTAATCAAATTTAGAAACTTGTGGGTCATGATGTATCAGGGATGTGCAACCTTTTTCTATAAGGTTGCACATCCCTGATACATCATGCCACATTTAAAACTTTTGAACTGATGCAGACTGTGCACAAGAGTAGAAAAGGAAAAAATGCAGATAGATTATAATTATAAATTAACATAGGTATACTTAATATGACTTCTGGAACTGATATGAATGTAATGTATTCAAAATATTTGGCTGAATATTAGTCACTGCTAGTTTTAAATCTATTTTGATGTTTTTGTTAGCCAATTTCTTGTTTTACTTTTTTAATATTTTGTGCTGTCTGGGGACTACGGGTTGCCCACCCCTGATGTATCTAATAAATACATCTCGTGTACACTTCCAATTTGAATATTTAATGTAATACAATAATGTATTATTGTCTGAATTCATAATTCTCTTTGAATCTGGCTAGCATTTTATTAATTGTCATGTTTTCTCCTATCAAATAACAAGCTGAAGTTTTCATCAAATGTTTCAAAACAGTTCTCTCACAGCTGCTAACTTCTCAAGTTTGAGTTGAATTGCATGAGTCTGCTTATTGCCAAATCAAATAGCATTGTACAAGAATTTGAACCTTTTCAAAACGTGATCATGTGGAATATTTCTACTTCCTTGCCACTTGTGCTATTTATTGCAACAATTGAATAAACTTCCAGCATTCATTCTTTATCTGTGGGGTCTTTTGCATTTCTAAGTAAAGAGTATATAGATGGATTCCTTTTAAATGCAATCTTGATATCATTTGGCTAAGGGTACCATATTTATTTGCATATAAGATGACCTCATATATAGGATGAGGTGTGACTTTAAAGATCAAACTAAAGAAAATTAAATTTATTAATACAGTTCTAATTTTATTTAATTTAATCATAAGTAAAATATCAAATGAATGTAAATGCACACATTGTCCTGCAAAAATTACTGGCATTTTAAATTTTAAGGAAAAATCTTGTAAAATTGACAACATAATTTGTTCATGTAAAGCTGGACAATGAGGAACCTTTATTTGCCAATTTTTAGCAGTGGAAATCACTCTCCGTCAATTACACTTATGAGTTTGTTTGAATTCTGATTTCCGAATAATTGTTTGTTTTCACGTGGGAATGGATTAAAAATTACATCAGGCTCCTGTGTGATTTTGGAATTTCAATTTGGAATTCAATTCAAAAGCTTTGCTTTTCCTAATGCTATTCATCTTTACTCCTGACAATACACAAGAACATTTCAAATGACCTAGATAAAATACTTTTGTGTTTAGACACCAGAGGGTGAGCATCCAGTAAAAACTGTGAACATAGACTTACAGGGTTCAGAAAAATTATTACAAAAATGGAAAGAATCCTTTGCTCGCGTGCATAGGATGATCTAGGTTTTTGAAGCAGTGAAAAATGAATAAAAACCTTATCTTATATGTGAGTAAATACAATATTTATATTAACAATTACTCTATTCAAAACTAAACAGACTTCTACACACATTTTTACTAACCTGTCAAAACAGTTCAGCATTTGTCAAAACTATCGTCATCTAATGTTTGCAACTATTCTAAAGGTCTTCATCAGGGATTTTGAATACTGGAATGTTCTTTTAATTTTTGTTTCAAATCAAATAAATTTTTAAATTTTTTGTTCAGGCTATTTATTTGTATATTCCAGCAAGATGTTGGTTGTATCTAATGATCTTGTAATCATCATCTTCATTCGTGGTGGAAGTGGATAGGAATATACGTGGGGGGACCCAAAATAACAAGGTTTTTTGTATAAAAACTTTATTTATTAACTTTTTTACAAAATTCCTTCAGTCACCTTCAAACTACTCTCCATTAGATGCAATTCACTTGTCAAGTCTTTTTCCCCACTGTTTGAAGCATCTCTGGAACTCTTCAACCTTGATATCGTCCAGTGAGCTTAGCGAAGCTGTTTTTACCACCTCCACATCATCAAAACGCTTCCCTTTTAGATTTTTCTTCATTCTTGGAAACAGAAAAAAGTCACACGGGGCTAGGTCCAGTGAATACAGAGGATGGGGAATGACAGGCCATCCCCGAGAGGCCAAATAGCGGGTCACTCGTAAGGCCATGTGTGTGGGGGCGTTGTCCTGATGAAGGAACCAGTCACTTGATCGCCAAAGTTCCAGGCATTTCCTTCGCACATCCTCTCGCAGATATCTTAACACTTTTTTGGCAGTTTTTTTTTTTTTTCAAAGTTTTCATTGTTTCGAAATGTTGAAGGACGCCCAGAACTTTGCAGGTGGAACAAAATAATAGTAAGAGAAACACAACACTATGCTCAAACATAAACCTACAAACTGATGCCATTTGGACAGCTGTTTCATGAAGGTCTCTACTAACCCCATGTAACGGGAGAACTCTCTACTACGTCTACAAATGGCAGCGCGCTCTCAGTTCAGTTTTTTTAGATCTCCCTCGTATATATGTTGATTAGACCCCCTAATGATGATGAAAGGGTAACCATGTTCCTTGGTAATCTGCATGATATAGTTAAGTTCTTTTATTCCATCATGGATGTTAGAACAGTTGTATAAACTCTCTTGATTAGGACCAGGGGCACCGCTAGCAGTTTGAACGCCCGTGTGCAATACCGATTATGCCGCCCCCTGTTTAACTACGATTACCAACACTGAGCTTGCCAGAAAGGCTCTTTAGTGTTGTCTTATAAGGGTGTGAAAAAAAAAGAAATACTTTACAAAGAAAATCTATTTATTATTACTAAGTTATTTTTGTTTACTTAAGTGTAAAACCATATAAATATTTATCTATAGAAATTGAAGTTCTCTTGCCTTTATGTTTGCGAAATCTGCTATCAATTTTCATGTATCCAAGCAGTCTAAGATTTCATGTTCAATTGAAAATATAGCTAAATTACTTAATCTTTGCTGGTGCGTTGTTGATCTTAAATTGTTTTTTTTTTTTATATAATTTTAACTTTGAAAATGACCCTTCACCAAATGCAACTGAAAACAGCAATGTAAGTAATATTCTTAGTGCTATTGCTGTGTTCGGAAATGTTGAAATTAAGTCATTAGTAAAAAGATATTGTAATAATGTTTGTGGATCATTAGACTTGTTTTCTGGAAAATGCAACTTTAAAGTATTGATTTCATTAAACAAATCAATACCGTCAATGTCTGTTTCACTACTCGAATCGTCTTTAAGCTTCAGATTTAAATCCTAACTAAGTTAAAATATCATTAATTATACTTAGACCCATGTCAGAAGAATTATTAACAAAATAATTGCAATTTGATATGCGATAGAACTGTTCGAATGCATACAAGTACAAATTGAGAAGGAAGCTCTGTGAGGATTCCCTAATTTCTCCAGTCCTGTCAACTTCTGTAATAGAGCACGACTATGAGTACTTGGCTTTCGGGCGCCGCTGGATGGTTCAACCTGCCGACAGATGTTTCGCATTGCATCTTAATTCTGATAAATGCCAATAGAGGCACTGTTAATGCTATAATATAGGTTAAATAAGAATATTGTAATTGTGCTCCGTTTGGATTTTTTCCTCTTTGTGAAGACATTTCTTATGCTCTACTTATAGCATAAGTGGGTATTGGGACAATGACTTTGAATATTACGTGACCGATCGCTCGATTTGCCACCCCCCTGGACGTGCTGCCTGCATGTGGTGCATGCCTTGCACTCCCGCTTACACGGGCCTGATTAGGACCCTAAAGGTGTATGTGTCTCTTGACTCCTCTGATATAAAAATTGACTGATAAGAGGGTTTTCTATATACTCTGGTTAAAATGGGGCCTTTACAAATAGTTAAACGGAATGCAAGAAAATGAGCAGTGATGACTTTCTTGCTCACTTGGAAGTAAAGGCTGTATCTGTTGTTCATGCAGTTTAAGTTTTCAGTACCAAATTATCATCATGTCAAAACAAATACAGAAACAAACAAATTGTTTTTGTGATTTCTTAATATCAGTAATTTAATAGCATACAAGACATGAACATTCTAGTTGTCACATCAATTAAGGAGTGACAACTAGAATGTTCACTATATCCATATTAAAGCATAAAAAACATCTTGCAAGTAAGACACATGACCAAACTGGCTAAAGCAGTGTTAAATAATGACTTTGATCTTGTTTGACTGAATAGCTGGTTGTTGTATCATTGTTCTGATTCTGCTCTTTAGTTTATATTTAGGAAACTATGCATAAAATTATGTATGACCCATTAAACTAACCCATTCTAAATCTATCAGAGCATTGGTTTCACTACTTACAAGGGGACCTTACAGTCTCGAAAATTCAGTGCGGGATGAGACTTCACGGGTTAGTAGTATACCTCAAGGGTGTCATCAGGCTAAGATGTTTGAATTTAAACCTTCAAACATCTTAGGCTGATGATGGCCAACAGATTTGGCTGAAAACGTTTGCTTCTTCAATAAATTTTCTCAGCAAATTAAGGTGTTATGTTTTTTTAATTTACTTATGCTGAGTGAGGGTACTTCAACAATAAATATCTTTTTTTTATTTGCTTTCCTTCTTGGTGTTGCAATTTTAATGGCCAGCAGTGTAATATTAAAATGTTAATCTTGTATTGTTATCTTAGATTTGGGAATCATTTGGAATGTGTTCAAAGTATCTTAAATTCTTTCAGACTCTGCTGCATTTTCCTAATTGATTACTTTATGTTTTATATTAAAAAAAAAATGTTCTACAATATTTATCTGTGGTAGAAGCCCAAATTTGTATATTTTACATATTTGTGATTAAGTCTGCAACCATTTTTTACAGTAAAGCCAAAATTTTGCAATTTGTGGAAGGATTAAGAAAAATGACGAAAAATAAATGAGGAACAAATATGAATTATTTTTTAAATCTTAAACACATTTTATTGCAATTTATTACACTTTGTTAATTGGTCTGCAATTTAAAAAAATTGTAGACCTATAAAAGACAATGGGAATTTCTCACTGTCAGCTGTCTGTCCTTCCTTAATCTTGAGAACAGTGTTAGATGAAAGTCGAGAATATATGGAAAGCTTGAGGCAGGAGACCCTGATTAACTATACATGAACTTCAGGTCTAGATGAAAGTCACATGATTTCAATTTAAAAATTTTTCACAGAACAAAGTTACATAGATGACTGCAGTGGCGTAGCGTAGTGGGGGCGGCAGGGGCAGCCCACCCCAGCAGCACTTTTACGGGGCGGCAAAATTTCACAATAAATAATAATAATATCTTGTAAAAATTTGAACCATTTCACTTCATATTTTTGTTGCACCTAGGATTTGGACATTGTATATAATATTATATACAATAAAATGTTTTAACAGAATGAACATTTGATTTGAAGATGAGTGGTAGTGTGAAAATTAAATAGTATATTTATTTCATTAAAGCATTTTACTGTGTAAAATTATGTCATTATAGTAAATATAATATATATTTTAATTTTTCAATATGTATGTAATTTATCTCAATTCTGTAACCTGAAAATAAATTGGTCTTGCTGAAATCTACTCACTAATAAGTTTCCTTTAGTTTATCTTTTTATCTTATACATATCAGCCTTCATCTTTAGTTAACAGTTTAAAGAATCGATGTTTTCAAACTCCTGGTCGTCATCAGTGTTTACAACATAAAACGCCTTTTTGAAAAGGTGTTCTATGTTGACTTTAAAACAAACATTGTTTCAGTCTTTTTGTTATAAACATGGAACATAAAAGAAGTATATTCTTTGTGCTTTATGTAAGTACTAAACTTCAAACATAGTTTTGTATGTAATAGAAAATGAAGTTCCTATCTTTATGATTAATGCATGATGCTTTCTTTTCAGTCCAATATATTTCCAGTTGTTCTAGCAACTTTAGATCTTAATATTTATATTTCTTGTGGAACAGATTAGTGTAACTTCATTAAAGTGAATTTTGATTTTAGGATTTGAAGCAGATATAACCAGGGCTATGGTGTGCAATCCTGTTCATATCTGCTAGAAGTTCACATATACTTGATTAATTTGCCTAATTTTTGTAAGCTCTACACATCCTATAAAAAAGTATAGTGAGTACGTGCCCTTTTGATTAGAGCCCTAAATGCTGAGGCTTTGTAAGTAAATGGTCTTAGGGCTTTTGTGTAAACTGAAAAATTGTGCATTTTATTCAATGTTGTCACTTGTACCATATTTTGAAATGAAGTATGAATGTATTGACTACTGTTATTTTCAATAATAATAAAATGAAAAAGTTATCAGATTTATTCCATTAATAGCTGCCCTCTAATAGTAAGCTGTCTCTCTAATAAACAGCAAAGTTGCAAGATGAAGAAAGTTATAGACAGTGCAGAATAAATATAGTATATACAGGTCAGATGATTAACTATATTTCATGCCAAAATAGTTATGATGTAATGTACAGTACTTGCTGTCTTATAGCATTAAAAACAACTTTTTATTCCAATATAAAAAATGCATATATTTCTGTTTTAAATCAATGTCTTTATAATGGACTATATCTTATTTATATTACTTTGTAATTGTACATCTTGATTTATTTATATATATTTAAATGTATCCGATAACATTGAAAATATGCCATGTTCAAGCTAGCATTCTGATTTGGAACATGATTGAGACCTAATGCAGATCTTATTCTTAGACCAAAAACATTTGTCTATATTATAGTTTATTGAAAGTTTTCAGCTGGAAATATTTCAAGGTGCATGTGAATATGATGTTATATTTTCTTCCAGCCTAGTAAAGATTCAAGAATTTTGTAACTAAGAACAACAATCAGACTTCTTGTGTTTTGAATCTATTTTAAAATAAATAAACCTGATTCAAATTTCATAATAATTTTATCAAGATACAAGCAATAAATAATTGCTTGCCACAAATTTTGCTATTTTGCCACAATAATTTGTCGCAAAATAATATTTTGACTGTTTCTTGATATAAGCATCTTTAAAGATGCTTAGTAGCATGTAACTTTACTGTGCACCTTTTTGTTTCAAGATCATATCCAGATGTGGTTTGTGATGGAAACACTTTCCTCTGTACATATGTATTAACAGTTTTTGTGAGTTTTATGAAGTAACCATGTTGCCTTTCCTTATCTTTAATCCATTCTGTCAAAGTGTGCCTAGAACACTAGTGCAATGGAGAAAACCTCATTGCACCAGAGTTGTAAAGGCAGAGACTATATTTCTGGTACACTGAGGCTCACCAGCATAAGATCAGACAAAATTGCCTTAATTCATTTGAGTTGAAATTTGCCAAAAGTTGTTTGACTGATTTTGCTATACAAACTTTCCTTGTAATCTGAAGAGTAAAAACAATTTCCTCTTCAGGTACTGTACATAGAAGAGATTTTTAGAGCTTAGAGTGAAAGCCTGCTAACTTAGTTTAAGCTAGATTGATTAATTAACAAATAGATTGATTTTTTTTTATGGTAATAATTTGGCAAAATATGATAAAAATATTCTAGTTTGAATTGAATTATGAAATCTTCCAATAAATTTTTATCATGTAATACTTAATTGGCTGTTACTGCGAATTGTCTTATGAATATTAGTTAATGGTTATATTAATTATTTCTTTTCCTTATTGTATAAGTATTATAAAATTGTTCTCAGGAACTTGTTATATCAAGGAGGAGTGTACAAGAATTAAAGGAGGACAATGATTTGTTTTTAGATATTTATTGTAATACAATTCTGTATGCTATGCTAGTTAAGTATTTCAGACTACTACTACTCTTCAGGATAAGATAACAAAAACTTCTAAAATATATATATTTATAATTATTTTACAAATATTTAAAAGCAAAAATTTATTACAATTCTTTCTCAAATTATTTCTTACCCATACTATTCAAACATTATAGAAGTTCACATATTCATATACATTCTTTTGTACATACATTCTTAAAAATGCTCACATGGACTATTACATCCACCAATAGATAAAACCAGTTCTAAAAATATTTACAACAATTTTACTTTTTTGTAAAACTATTATAATAATTTATTAAAAACTCTTACCTAAGTGATTCAATGTTTTATTTTTTTCCTTTTCTTCAGTTTTTTAATATAAATAAGCATTAAAAAAGCACTGATGTCAACCAAGTTTTCTTTTGTAAAGAGACAACTCCTCTATTATTTAATTTTAAATCAACCTATTTGCATGCCATCTACCCGAATACCCAATACTATCGGATATCTATAATTTGTCCTAAATTATCATTTATTTTATTTCTTTATACAAACATTTAAAAATACTGGAAGTAAAACTGTCTTTTATAATAATTCTCATCGTTTTTTCAATTTTTACTAATTTTAAAGTAATTTCACAATCATGTTAGTCAGTTAATAGTGATAAAATATTATTCACACTATAACATTCAACCAAATTATAGATTAGTATGACATTAACTTTAAAATAAAATATTTTTATTTTTAATTTTATTTATTATTAATTGGTCAGAGGAAATATTTAACTGGTAAATCAAGAAAAATGTTCTAAAAAAATTTTAACGTTGTTTTTGTAATGAATTATTTTTGTATTTCAGATGTGTTCTTCTTCAATTACAAACATGCACACATCCAACAGTTATGAAAGATATGTGTGCAGACTGTGGTGCAGACTTGAGAGAGTATGTAAAAATATATATTACTAATTTTTAATTCTAGTTAAAGATTATCATTTAAAAGATTAGAGTTAAAAATCCATAAATATTTCAAAATAAATTAGTTTCTTGAATTTTGATAATTCAAAAAATTTATTGACAATAAAACAATTTTATGAAAATATCATTATTAACTAAAATAATAGTATCTTATATTGTACAATAATATAGAAATACTGAAATGATTTTTCAATATATAAAATTAATTTTATTGTGCTTTTTTAATAATTAACATACATAGTATAGTAAACAAAATCTATAAACAAGGGTTTGCTGTAGAGAAGTTTCTTGTGTATCACCTTCAAAGTAGTCACCTACTGCAATAGAATATACTTTTACCAGCAAAGATACTTCTGAAAGCATTCCTGCAGTCTTTCTTCACATCCTTCTTTAGGGCATCCACTGTAGCCATTTTTATCTCCTTTTCAGACTGGAATCTTCAACCATGTAATAATTTAGACGTCTGTGGAGACAAGAAGTGGGGAATACGGAGGCTGTGATAACACAAATATAACATGTTTTATTATACACAAATGACCTGTATGTTGGTATATTGTCTTGGTGGAATGTTTGTCTCTTAGGGACAATTTCAAAATGGATGATGTCTCAGTAGTCAAATAAAACCACAAACATGATTTTTGATTTGAAGTCACGATGAAAACTTTCTTTGGACTTGAAAAATATGGTGACTTCCTCATTGAAGACTGGTGCTTTAATAGTGGATTATAAAGGAAGCTTAAGGATTCATTTCCAGTAATGGCACTCAGATCTTGTTACAATAGTCACTCAACTCACTACTTACAAAAGCATATTTGTCCTACTGTTTTTGCATTATAAACTTCAATACAAAATAAGCAATTACTGTAATTTATTGTGACATTTTCACAATGCTAGGCTGCAATTTTCAATCATATTTTTTAATTTAAAATATATGCTTTCCACCTTCGAATTATCAGTGTCTTGCCCCTGTACATCATAGTATTTTCCTTTAGCAATTGAGTTATGCCAGTCATCTGTCTAACTCCTTTCAGAGGAAAATTTTTGAATTGAAATAATGTGACTTCTGGTTTTCATTCGTTTTTATATGGTTAATCAGGGCCTCCTGCCCCTAGGGTTTCCATATATGGTTTCGTCTTTCATTTAACTTCGTTTTTGAGATTAAGGAAAGGTGGACGGGCAAGAGTGAGAATTTATAGGTCTACAATTTTTTCAAATTGCAACCCAATGAGTGGCACATATCCAGGAGTTCTTACTGAGAATGGAATGAATGGAACCATGAGAAATGCATATTGCAGCAAGTTTATCAACTCTATGGTTGTTACAAATTGTTTCAGATATTTGCACAATAATTGCATTGTTTCTTGTTGTCAGCAATCTTCCCAATATTCATCATCATCAGGCAATTCATGATCTGTCTTGAACCATTTTAGTCACTCAAACTTGCATGCATCATAGTTTGCTCTGGAAAATTTTAAAAAATCAACAGCCATTTGCCAGTTTTAAATTTTTTTTTTGCCACTTCAAATTATTGATTATCACCAGTTTTACTTACTAATTAATGCAAGTGCTGGTAGCCTTATCAGTTCAGAGTCTGGAAAGCAAAAGTATCATGTTAAGTTGTCACTTAGAAATAGGAATCATTTTTGAATAATTCTGAATAACACATTTGATTGCAATGCTCAAACAGTATTTCTCAAGTTTCGTTATGTCAAAATTTTTATGCTTTAGTTTACCTAAAAAAAATCAAAGTGAAAAAACCTGTAGCCCAAAAAATTTTCCAAATTTTCTGTCACTCACTAAAAAATTCTCCAATCTGGAAATGCTGGCATTGCAAGAAAACTGTCTTTAGTTCTCAGCATCATTTCCGTTTTCCTGTCTGATCTTGCCACATACATTATGACATTCATATGTGTGTGGTGCATGGGACTCCCATCACACAGGAGCTCAACATTATGCTGTTTTTCAATTGCGTGCTTTGTGATTCAATTTCAAGCTGAATGTCAAAATAAGCTGAGTAGATATTTTATCGTTAGTATTATATTTTTATCGCCACTTTAATAAAAATATCACCAATTTTGGTACTGTGCAGCATGATCCCTGTACAAGACATTATATTCCTCTGTAAACCTGCTGGAATACATGAATCTCTGTAGCCTTCTTTTTTAGTTTTATACAATTTGATGTTGTCCACTTTTCCTAAATTCATTATTTTATGAATGGGATGTCTATGCACACAGTTTAATCATTTTAGAGAAAATCTCACACTAGTGTTATCTGGCTATAACTGATTATACATACCCCATAATTTAACCATGATGGTGTTGGACAGTTTGCTTCGTATTGCCAACAATTGAACAAACCATAATACCATGTCACTCTTTTTACACTTTTAAATCCAATACATTATTCAGTCATATTATAAACACTTAAAGGTAAGGGAAAGAGATTGTGCAATTAAGCAATATATATTTTCAACAGCATCCTATGCATTTTCAATAGGACTGAGATGAATAGAAAGTAATAATGAACTGCTAGTGAATAGTGAACAATTGGTATACTATTTTTTTAAGACATTAGTCAGTTAATCTAATCCATTAATGAACATTATAAAAGTTTGTAATTATTTTATATAATATAGTGTTAATTTTGTCTAAAAAAATGAACAAAAAGTTTGTTCATTTTTTTTAGACAAAGTAATACTCAAATTTTAAAAATTAAAAAATAACTTTATTAAATTATATATGCACTTTTTGTTTTGTATTAGTTTAGTCCATGTGTTTGGTAAATCCATTATCCCATGTGTAAAGAATTCTGGGGACTTTTCATCAAAATATACCTATAAAAAAGAACTTTTTTTACATCATCTAAGTCACTAAACTTCTTCTTCTGCAAACTATCCTGGAGAGAGCAAAATAAATGGTATTGTGAAGATGCAAGCTGAAGAGAGTATGGGTAGCACAATACACCCCATCTAAATTCCAATATTTTTTCCCAAATGGTTAAAGACACATGCACTCTAGCATTGTATTGATAGAAAGTCACACCTTTTCTTCTTGCTAATGCTGGTCATTTTTCTTCAGTGGCTTGCCTTCAGTTGGGAATGGTATTTCTCTGTGTTAATGATCTGATTTTGAAGTAGCATTTCATAATAGATAATTCCTTGCCACTTCCACCTTATCCTCAGCATAACCTTTTTCTGAATATGAATTGACTTTAGACTGCATTGAAGACATATCAGTTGACTTTCTCCATTATATTTTCTGCTGTATGTTATCATAAAAAATCTAGTTTTCATTGCCATTAATTATTTGCTTTCAAAAGAGATTCATCTGGTTAATGTTTCAGCAGCAAATCACAGCAGATATTCTGTCTATCAGATTTATCTTGCTCATTTGTTGTGGTATCCAAACATAGCATGATCTGTATCCTAAGTTGTGTAAATGACCAACAACTGATCTCTGAGCAATAGATACTGTAGCAATAGATAGATAACAAGATTGAGTATTATCTATTGCTTATTTTTTCTGGTGATATAATGTAGGTTCTCTTGAATTATATGATTGCATCATCATTAACAGCAGATGATCATCTTATGGTCCTCTTTTAAAGAAAAATTTCCTGTATAGAATCTCTTAAACCACTTTTGACATATATGGACATTGACAGAAGCATCCCCATAAACAACACAGATTTTTTTTCTTGCAGCTATAACATTTTTTCTTTTTATGGAAGTAGAAGAGCATAAAATGATGAAAATGAAATTTAAGATCCTCTGTTTTTAAATCCAAAAATTCGAAAATAATGATAACAGCAATAATAATTTAAAATTAATCTTTTGTAGCCACATTTGTTCTACATTAAATTACGTATGATAATACAAAATAATAGCATGATAATGAATATAGTTAAAATAAAATTTTAAGAAATTTTTTATCATTTTATATCAAAATTGAAATAATGAGATGGCAAATTTTTATAAATCCATGATATAATTTATATTAAAAAATTTTTATAACTTCAAATTCATATAAACTAAATATAATTGTAGTACAGGGAGTCCATAATGTCTTGATCTATTTTAGTGGGAAAAAAATGAAATTGTTGAAACAGAGGTATATTTTATGGATGGAAAGAATGTTTACAATGTATAGCAACATAATTTGATGTGACTACCTTTCATTTTGAAGCACCTAATTTTATTTCCAATGTTCTGTTGTAGCTCAAATTGTTTTGCAACATAGGTACTGTAATGCTGTCAACTGTCACTGGCTATGATATTTAAAGTCTTTGAGATCATTAACTTTCATATGATAAACTTTGGACTTGATAATTCCTAAGAAGAAATCTAAAGTAATCTTGCTGTCCATAGACTTTGCAATCTCCTGCTGATCCACCTTTTAGGAAAGCCTTCATTCAGTCTCTAACACAGGTTGCAAAATGAGATGCTTTATCCTGCTGAAACACAACATTACCAAAAATTCCATTGCCTAAGAACTGTGCCTTGAGAAACTATTGTAACAAGTCAAGATGTGTGTTACACAAAATGTGAAAATGATCATTCTCTTCTTCAGTGTCAACATTCTTCAGGCTGTTCATGTTGCCTACAAAAAAAAAAATTTTAGTTATGTTTTCACCAAAATGGATCAAGACTTTATGGAAACTGTTTGTATTTTTAAATTATATTTTGTAATATGATTGGGTAGATCTTGCTACTAAATTGCAAATTTGTCAGAATAAAGAAAGTTGCTTATAGAACAGTTTTTTAACATAATTTCTAACTTTTTAATTTCTTACTCATCTTTAGAAAATACGTCAAGTTATAAGAAAAATATTAATTTTTGAAGTTACCAAAATGTGAATCATATTAATAAAAGAATAATAATATACAACTTTGTAGATTAATTAAAGAAAAATTATTTTAATTACTTATTTGATTACTAAAGTTATTTTATTTATTTGTGTAACAAGATAGTTTTGGCTTTGCAAGACCCTTCAGTTAGACATTTTAAATTTGCTTTATTTTTAGAACAGGCTTATGGAATAGAATCTATTCTATAAAGCCTGTTCTAAAAAGATAGTAAATTTAAAATTAATCGTAACTTGTTTATTTGTGCAAAAAAGTTTTGGTAACCTGACTTTTAGAATATTTATAGTTTTGTTTTTTATTTTTTCTCAAAGTATATTTGAATATGTAACTAAAATACTTTTATATTATGTATATAATGCTTTTGGATCATTTTAACTATCATTTATCAGAAGTTAGCCTCATTTTTATCCAATCATTGCATATAATTATCCATTTAATACATTGCATAAGAATTTTTATTCTGGAACTATAATATAAGATTGTATTAAAAGAAAAATAATAACAGAAAAAAACATTTTTTTTTAATTTTACTATTACTGATAAATTTATTATTTTAGATATAATTCTGAATGCAAATAAACATTATTTGCATTAAAAAAAATTTTTTTTTAATATTTTTTTTATATATAGATTAGACAGTGATAATTTAGCAAAAGTGGTTGCTGCAACATCTGTTAGCATGGTCCACAGTGTTCCAGAATTAAGAGTTAGTCAAGAGGTAATAATTTTACAAATCTATTTAGTTGATATTAATAAAAAATAAATTTTTTAAAATAAGATTAGATATTAGAGACAAATTGTGTTTGTTTATTTAATTACACTTTTACATTGTTTATGATTGTAAATTAAAACATATTTTGCTTTTTATTTTAGTTTTAGTTAGCAAGTTCTATTGTTGTTACACCTGATAAAAATATCTATTGGATTAAATTGCTAATGTGAAGGCATATTGTGACATAGGATTAATTATTGTTGTTTGTTTTGTTCAGTTCATTGTTCAATCTAACATATTATTATTTATGTATGTAATAAATTTTCTATATACACAATGATTCCATTTTTGAAAATATAGTAGGCCTCAGATTTAGCAGACACTTTCAGGACTGGAGACTGTGTACAAAAGACAGATGTTCATAAAAAAATTGCTATATATTTTATAATGTCTATCAGTTTTTAAATAATTAATACAAATTTTTTTAAATGCAAAAGAATATGTGATAAAAACAGAAGTACTTCAAAGAATTGCAAAAATTATAGGATTATTTCTATATAATAATTAACATAATTTGGTACTAGTAGGAACATCATAATGTAATTTCTCAATTTAATTTAGTGTGTCATTAAGGATCCCACCACACTAAACCTGTGACTATCAGTGATCTCCCCAATTCCATAATAAAATATATGTTAGGAATAATTTTAGAAAATAAAGAAACTTATTCAATTAAGAAATGTTTGAAAAGTTGATGTTGTATGGAATGATAAAAGAACTAGATGGAAAATAGAAAAGTAGGCAGTTAATTAAAATAATTTCGGAGATTGTTATATACAGCAATTTTCAGGTGTTATGCATTCCTAAAAATGTTCGAAAATCAAACAATAGAGTTGTATATTATGAAAAACATTCTGATTCCAGAGAGCTAAAAAGAAATATTACAAATCCTGTTGTTAATGTAGGACAGTTTTATTTTTCTACAGTAAATCTATTCTAATGCATAAAACATTACTTAAAATGTTTGTTTTCATTTTAATCTAAGGAATTTTAACAATAAAAATTAATTTTTACAGATGATTTTTTTTATTACTGGCTCCAAAACATGCAAAGTGCCACCACACAATAGCTCTAAATTTTTGTTTGTCATAAAAAAATTACAAACGTCCAAATTTAGCATAAAAATCAAAACCTGGGGTACCAAAATATATTAAATACAAAATAACGTATGCAAAAGTTAAGGAATGCCTATAAATTATTGAAATACATCATAATAATACATGATAACAATTGATGATACTTCTTGCATGGCTTACTGTTTAATTTCTGAGATGATAAAAAACAATGAATATTATTATTCAAAGATAGAAAATTCATTTTAAATAACTTTCATTTCTTCTGCATGATGTAAAAATTTAAAAGATATAAATAAATATATTACTTTTTAATCTAGCTTAACTTGTTATTTTGACAGGATTGGATGAGTTTTTCTCCCAAAACAAAATATAGAAAATTCTTGTTAATTTGAAATTCCATTAGTTTGTAACTGAACTTTTGTCCCAACCAGGGATGTAGAGATTTACATATTAAGGAATTCAGTAGTTCGAAGTAAAAGTACCTCAAAATTCAAAGTGAAAATTCTATCTGAACTGTGATATGCATACGTTAACTCGTTCATTTAAATTGAAGTGCCTCCATACTATAAGAGAAGAATAGACCAAGAACAACTCTAATCTGGTCAACATGGCTTTGCTTTTACATGTTTTTGGGTTTCAGCTTACACGTGGAATGCCCTTTTTCTCTTATCTCATAAAATACAGCATTTTGGAATTGCAAGATTGGGCTTCAAGTAGCAAATTGAGAAACTTGAAGGACTCTAGGCTACTACATTTGGGTATATAACTACTTTTTGGGCCACCTTAAAAATAATTTGGGCTACATTTTGAGAATTCTGCTTTATTTTTACTTTTCCAGCTATTATACAACAGAGGGAAGGTATGGCAATTGGTCTAAAAATGACCCCCCCAAGATTTTTACATTTGGACTTGAGACTGTGAAACATGGAGAAATGCAAAATAAAATTTAGGGTTTTGTTTTTCTGTATGTATGGATGTTAGTGTGTGCATGAGGAGACATGATTTTGTCAAAAATTGAAATTGTCAAAAATTTCTGAAATTTTCAAGTTTGTGTATGCTATTAAGTTTTCGTGGTTAAAGGTCAACAGGATGAGGAGATAGAGGGTCATGTCATATCTCAAGTAGGGTCTGACTTAATGACAATTTTACTTATTATTAGCATTTATAACTTTTTATAAAACCCATCCCTACCCTCAAAATTAAGTTTTTTGCCATTTTATAATAATTAAAAATATAAAAAGTTTTTAGTAATAAAATATCATAATAGATGGTGCTACCAAATGTTGCCTGGAAACTTCAGCAACTCATTGCTGAATTTTTTTATAAAACCTATCTAGCAACCTGTGTGGTCCTCATCAGACACATGCTGTTTACTGTCATATTTATATTATTATTATTATGGGTTTAGTGGATTATACTCGATTCACACCGGTGGCTGTGTACTATGCTGGACCAGAGTCAAGGCATAGCAATCAAAAACTACAATTAAATAAGTGTGCCAGTGCCTGTGTCTATATTCAGGAATTTCCTAACAATATGGCATGTATTCAATATAGTGGCGTTCTGTAGTGTGATGTATGTATTTCTATTCAATTGTAATGTTCCCAGGCTTTTGTATATTCTGTGTGGTATCATACCTGTACAGGAGAGAACAACAGGTACAATAAGCACCCTGTCCATCCTCCACAGATGCCTTATTTCCTGGGCGAGTTCTGTGTACTTGCTAATTTTTTCAGTGAATGTGTTTTGTATCAATATTGTGAGTGTTTGGAATGGCTATGTCTATAATGTATGTGGTTTTATTGTGTTTGTCAATGAGTGTGATGTCTGGTCTGTTGTGATAAATTGTTTTATCTGTGATTATGGCTCTGTCGTAGTACATTTTATGCGTGTTGCTTTCCAATACTGTCTGTGGAATGTATTTGTAGTATGGTTTGTGAATGTCTACCAAGTTGTGTTTCTTTGCAAGCTCTTCGTGTATTATATTTGCTACTTGATTATGTCTGTGTAAANAATTGAGACGGCAATGTCTCTTCAAATAAAATTTCATAAAAGCATCCAAGATTTTCCTCCGATATTCGGGTAAACAGCAACCTCGCGTTTTTTTATGCAGCGCTCGAGAAGCGCTTTACAGTGAACACGCTGAAACTGGTTTCTAATTGGCCAATACTGCTCGTGACGTCATTTCGCTACACTCGCTGCATAAAAAAACGCGGGGAAACTTACAACAGATTTTTGTATTGGCCAAAGCTTCGAAGTCAGAACTTTTAACATTCAATTCAATGATTTTACTTAAGAAATTTCTACAAAATAACGTGTTATTAAAAACTTCGATGTTCCATCTGAAATTATTAAATTTTTGATCATTTTCTCTAATTTAAAAGTGTGTTGACTACCACCGCATTCCATCTTTAAGATGACTTCTTGTTCGGAGTCATTAGATATTCTTTATTCAAAAGTAATGCTTGGCCATGTGCTGTATGTAATACTTTAAAAACAGATCTTTATATCGAAGATAGCGAAACAGAATGAAACTTTTATCAATAATACCTTCTTCAATCTCTCCAATAAAGTCTCTGGACTTCTTTTTAAATTTATCATTTATAAATAGAGAGATATTCTGAGTATTTCAGATCTAAATTTAAGAGATGTTCGAAGTTTAACTATCATTTTCTAAACGTATTTGTCAGATTTAAAAGATTTACACAAAAAGACATTGAATTTTTCTTTTAATCTATCCAGCTATGTATAAATTCTGATATGTGTATAATCCTTTTTCCTTTTTCTATCATTTTTTCTCAAGTTTGCTAAGATATTTGCTTACGTATTCAGCCATTATGTGTAAGCAATCTTCTGTTCTAGAAAAGAGCTGGTACATAGAAGCTAATTCTTCCATTTTTTCATTTTTTAGCATATGAAATATTCCAGGATTTTCCATTTCCATAATAATTTTGACATGCTTTCTGAGCAGTTGTTCCTCTAAAATTTCCATTACTTTTTTCTCCGTCGTTTCTCCAAAACAGAATTTGGCTTCTGGTGGCTCCATTCGTGCTTTAGGTTTTCTCACGTAAGACACGGCATCCTTCTCCGATAAGAAACGATAACTTTCTTTTGTATAATATTCATTTGTCTATTCTAAAAATAGTTTTGAACTCTTCTATATAAAAAGAATCGGAACCTATGCGTATAGAAACTAGCATATCGCATGCATTTTTAATGCCTGTTCTATTTTCATTTTCGCCCTTCCTTTCTCTCGCCATCATTGAGAGAAGGGTGAAACGCAGATAAAAGGAAATATTCTCGTATTTTATAATTTTATCGCGGAACAGGATCAATCCGAGATCTTACACATTATTTACATTGTTTATTCTGACGTGAATATTATCGAGATTCTTTATTGTTGTATATTATTGCTATTGTTTCTAGCTTTATTTGTATTATTATCTAAAATACTTTATTCTTTGACATGTGATTGTAATTTACACAAATAAAAATTTGAAAAGAAAATATCAATTATAAACTTTAGCTAAATTATTAAATATTCGAATTATTCGCGAGTAATCCTATAGTACATTAATTAAACAGGACTTTCGAAGAGAGTTCGATCCTGACCGAAAGTGTCAAATTATTCGATTAAAATCCAGAGATTAAGAAATATTTCTTCCTCGATGGCTTTAAAATTATAACGGATGATAAACACTCAATTCTGTTTTTACAGAACGGTTTCAACGTATACGACTGTGGTTACGACATCATTGACACCAAACTCCTTACTCCTCTTCTTCTCCCTCATTCCATTACACCTGTTTATTTATTTGGAGAAGCTATTCTTTCCAAATTCACTTCCCGCATATCCGCAAATATAAACGAGGATGTTTGTTTGTTTGCTCGCTATGCACGCCTAGGCCGTTTGATCGATTGACTGAAACATAAAACGTGTTTCAATCAATCTTTCAGAGACATCGATTAACTCTCTACGGCTAGCTAGGTTATGGAAAACATGAAAATGATAGAAGTTATTGTAAGGGACCTGTGAGATAACGCCAGTTTCTTCATTCTTCTTTCGGCTTTTTAATATAACTTTTATGTGTTTTATCTTATATGTTTTAATTGAAACACCGACTGAAAAGGGACTATTTTAAAGTCCGAAATGCATTTCGAGTCTATTTTATATAATTTATACATATTAGTTTTAATTATTGTGAAATCTCTTTTGAAAACTTAAATATATATTAAATTTAAGAAATTTTGTCTGCGTGTTCACTGGTGTGATAAGCCCTAACGTAAAGTAACTGTATTTAATAAAGATGTTATACGTTATTAGCATTTACAATTATTTACGAAACCGATCATTACCCTGAAAATTAAGTTTTTTTGCCATTCTATAATAAAGTTATAGAAAGTTCTTATAACAAAATAACTTAACAGATGGTGCCACACATAATTATATTTATTATATTCTAATTAAAAACATAAAATTTATTTTCTAAATAAAATCCGGCAACAAGTTACATAACTTGTTGCCGGATTTTTTTTATTATAAAGAGAAAATTAAATTGTTCGTTTCAGCACTTTTCTCGATTTAAGTATAGCAACAACCAGGGGCTGATCTAGGTTTTTCGGGCCTAGGGCTCCAATGGGGCCCCTTTTTTGTTAGATTAAGAATTATACAATAAACAAATAATACTATAAATTATCATCATTATTTGAGATCCCGTGACACTTGGGAACCCGGGACTTAAGCCCTATTAGTCCTTATGTAGACCGCCCCTGCCTGGGCAAAGCCCAGGTTTATATAGTAATTTTTGCACTTTTGTGTCTGATTTTTAAAAAAAAAAAATTTCCACATTAGATTTGATGATTTTGGTGTCAAAACGCTCGTTAGAACCCTGGAATGTGCATAAATTACTTTTTGGAAAATATAATTGACTCAGAAAAAAGATATATTCAAAAAAATGAAAATGTCGCCTTTCGCCTCTGATACTTAATAACAAAAAGGTATTTTGATATTTTTTGGGTGCTGTTTATTGTAATATAAAGCCACGCATTTGCTTCATAGTTTTGCAAAGTTTGGTGAATTTTGGTTAAACTACGGAAAAGTTATCCGAGTTCAAATAAAAGCAACCAGATTTACGTCCTCCATCCCCAATAGATGGCTCCACATTACCTAGCTCTTCGATTGCCACTGCTGTAACTGCCCAGTACAAATTTAAACAAATTGTCATTTTCTTTTGTCAACGTGTCAGTAATTACACTCAACTCCTTCCTCTCATCCTATTGGAAATTTTCAACTTCGAAGTATTCTAATTGCTTCGAAGCTTTGGTAATTATTTTGTCCCTTGAATTTCGAACTAACAAGGATTTCCTGTATATTGTCTGCAATGATACTAAAACACATGGCTTATAATTTTATTTCCTAGTCATATAAATTTTAACAATAAATTAATAAATGCTAAAATCAAATACATTACATTATATCGTTAAAAATAAAAAATAACAGCTAATTGTTAAACTAGATTAAGTCAGAACCATTGCATCTCTAATTTTATTTTTGAAATTTTTTCTAAAATATGTTAACTAAAAATTACAATTTATTTTAAATGCGGTATTTTAACCTTAAAATTTCCAATAATGGTAAAATAACATCATATTTATCAAAAGATGTTCATTTTCCTTTTTCTTGAATAAATATTTTATTTTTTGAAAAACTTATGAAATGTTTTGCTTATTATGAAAAAATAACTGATTTCTTCATATATAATTCCTCCACTGAACCTTAGTTATTATTTAATTAGACTGAGATTTTGTTTTTGTGAGAAAATATTTAATAAAAAAATTAAAAGATATTGTGATAATATTAGAATTTTTATTAATATTAAATATAGGAAGCTCAACAGTTAGGTCAAGCAGATGAAAATCATTTGTTAAGTGCTAGAAAACTAGTGTTACTTGTGGATTTGGATCAGACTTTAATTCACACTACTAATGATAATATTCTACCAAAAATCAAGGTAAATAGAATTTTGTTATTACTTTATTTAGAGAAGTAATTAACTAACTAATATTTTTTTAAAAATTTAAATATTTACAATTTTTATAGAATGTGTATCATTTTCAATTGTATGGCTCTCATACTCCTTGGTATCACACAAGAATTCGTCCTGGAGTAGAAAGTTTCTTAGATTCTATGTCCAAATTATATGAATTGCATATCTGCACATTTGGAGCACGACCATATGCCCATAAAATAGCAAACTTATTAGATCCAAATGGCAAATACTTTTCCCACAGAATTTTATCTAGAGATGAATGTTTCAATCCAAATTCAAAGACTGGAAATCTTAAGTAAGTATGCAGAAAATGTTTTAAGAAAATTAAACTTTTTTTAATGTTTAAAGTAATTTTTTTAAAAAAATCATTTGATTTGTTGTCATATACAAAAGTTTCAAATTCCTATAAATCTTAATTGTCATTTTTTTAAGTGCCTCATAATTATGGTTTTTCAGATTTTTATTTTTATTTATTTTAATAGATTTGTTTCCATTCTGTTAATAACATTCACCAATATATCTACATTTATCTGAAAAAAATATTTTCTGTTAGATTTAAATAATTTCAAATCATAAGACAGGTTAAAATCAAGTATAATATTTTCATGCAGATAACATACATACAATGACATAAACCCTGTAAAAAATTGCTAGAATGGAAATAAAGTAATTACATAACCAATCCATTGTGAGGTTGACCCTATAACAACGTTGAGGAATTTGCATGGATCAGATAAGAATTTGATGATTTGTGTTGACTCAGTGTTCTAGAATCAAATATTAATAATTTTTAGAAAAAAAAAAGAGTTTTCTATGTTGTGTCAGATGAGATTACAAACCATGATCAGTAAGTGAGTTTCATAATTATGTTGAACAATAAATACAACCTCCACATATGACATCTTAACTAATCACACCATGCCATGACTTTGTAAATTGGACTTCTGTATTGATATTAATGGTTGTAGAAAAACTTTTGTCATAATTTTCCCAAGAATGTCTGAATATTAGGTCCTGTAGCTATGGTAAAATTTAAGTATAAATAAATACATGATTACAAACTGCGGGTTCCCTTGTCAGTAGAGTTTCTGAATCCTGTGAAATTATCCTAATATAAATCTGTAGAACATTAACAATCTTGTTCAGTGCAGTTATTCAGAAAGGGTATAGATCTATTATTTTAATAATAATAATCTTAATTTATAATTATTAATTCATGGTTGAGGAATTGTGGATGCACTTGTTATATAAGCTGTAGCAATATCAAGTGGTCTATTAAAGTTACAACTTTCCTCCTCCCACTAGGTAATTGTCCTAACTCAACTATAATTTTTGGGCTTTGAGAAAATGCAGTTTTTCAAGCTTTAGTTTATTTCTGCAGTTTTGTTATGTTATACATTATAAATAAATGCCATAAAAATTTTCTAATGTTTTTATGTAGCTAAAGCATCTGCATGTTGCATAAAGCATGTTGTATCTGAAAATGAAATTATAGCTGTTCCAACAGACATTTTACAACTACTAATTCAGATATTTTTTTAAACTTTTTGCTCTTTATATACTTCATTTATCATATAACAAATTGAAGAAAATGACTTATTTTGAATCTTCAGAAAGTCAAAATATAAAAATATTCAGATTCAAACAAGATTTATTTTTTAAATTCATTTCAAGCCAAATAATTGCCAGATTAAATTGGACTATATCAGTGTTCCGCAACCTTTTTCTACTCGTGGCATACTTATGACTCAACACGGCACACCAAAATGTTATTCCTGTCAAAAACATATGATATGATACTATTAATCAAATTTCATAATGCCATAAACCTATTATATTATTATGTTGAGTTTTGTGAGTTGCACTTGGTTGACACCGATGGCTGTGTACTATGCTAGACCAGAGTTAAAGCATAGTAACTTCAAAACAAGACAAAAATTAAATAAGTGTGTCAGTGTATGTCGTATTCAGGAATTTCCTAATAATATGACATGTATTCAATATAGTGGCCTTCTGTGGTGTGATATGTTTCTATTCAATTTTAATGTTCCCAGACTTTTGTGTAGTGTATGTGGTATGATACCTGTACAGGAAAGATGACAGATACAATAAGCACCCTATCCATCCTCAACAGATGCCTCATTTCCTGATGAGTTCTGTGTACTTGCTGATTTTTTTCAGTGCATGTGTTTTGTATATTGTCAGTGTTTGGAATGGCTATGTCTATAATGTATGTGATTTTATTGTGTTTGTCAATGAGTGTGATGTCTGGTCTGTTGTGGTAAATTGTTTTATCTGTGATTATGGCTGTTGTAACGTGTTGTTTTCCAATACTGTCTGTTGAATGTATTTGTAGTATGGTTCATGAATGTCTAATAATTTGTGTTTGTTTGCAAGCTCTTGATGTATTTACTACTTGATTATGTTATGTAAATTATCTATCTGTGCCAAGAGCTTGCAACCAGAAGTGATGTGTTGTATAGTTTCTGGCATGATGTGACATTTTCTGCATGTGTCATTTATGATTGTTGTATCTTTGAGTATGTGTTTTCTGTAGTTTTTAGTATTTATAACCTGATCCTGTATGACAATCATGAATCCTTCCATCTCCCCAAAGAGGCATCCCCGAGCTAACCAGCTGTTTGACACAGTTTTGTCAACAGAATTCTGGACAGGTCATAGGGATGTCTGATATGGAGTGCCTTTTGTGCCCATGATTGCTTAATTAATGGTGTCTATGCTATTTATATGTTGTGTTGTGTCCATATGTTGTGAATGTAAATTTAATGGTGTATTATTTGAGTCTGCTCGAGTTACTGCTTTATGTAATTGTGATTTTTCTTGTTTCTTGTAGAAAAACTCACAATGTCTGTATTTGTTTGTAGTGGAGGTTAACTATGTTGATCAGGCCACATCCGCCATCTTTACGTGGAATGGTTAATCTTTCTGTGGCGGATTTAGGATGATGTTGTTTATGCTTATTAAGTGTTGTTCTTGTTTTCATTTGGAGTTGCTTGAGATCTGTGTGAGTCCAATGTATAACTCCAAAAGAATAAGTGAGTACTGGGACATTATATGTGTTTATTGCTTTAACATCATCTTATTTCATCAGTGAATGAAATACAAGCATAAGAAACACAACAGAAATAAATAAAACTTGAAATTAATATGTAAAAGTTTACATTATACCTTTCACCTTGTGATGACACACCAGTTGCGGAACACTAGACTATATTACTGTTACTATTAATAATTAAATTCCATGTAATTTGACCTAGAAGTAGACTTTCAGGGTAGTTCCTTAATGCAATAAATAAAGTAAATAAATAGCAAAAAGTTTAAAAATATCTGGATTAGTTTGTAAAGTACTATATTATTTTTCCGACTTTTCCAACGATTATTGACACTACTGCGTGCCGGAAATAGCCGTTCCCTAACGGGTACTTTACGCGGATTCGCGTTAGTGTGCCAGGCCTGGACTTTAAGGGTGCACCGAATTAAATAATGACAAAGTTTGTCAATAACAAAATCAAATATTTAATTAAACTTCTAGTAATAACTATATACAGTATTTAGTAAAAATCAAACAATAATTTATTCAATGAAATTCAACAAGAATCAACCCGACAAACTCAAATCAATCTATTTCTAACTTAATTCTATTCCCCTTTGGAATTCGACAAAAATCAAAGACTTAACTTATAAACAATATTTCTTATAAATTAAAGATCCTAATCGTCACCTCAATATACTAGGAACCTATTTCCTCAAACTCTCAAGACTTTCTATAATCGTCGATCCATAAGTCGAATAACTTCAAAATCACCTTGGAACTATTTGATCCTATCGGACACCTCTCTCTCGTTCACTGCTCTGAAGCTCACCAAAGCTCGTTGCTATCAGGAATTCACCTCGTCCATCTTCACTTGAGACTTGGAATTTATAGTGTGAGGTGACGTCACAATTCTGAATGAGATCACTCTCCTCATTTACATACTTAACGCTAACAATAAACTTTTTTTGTTTCTCTGGCAGCCTATTTACGACAATTACTCGTTAACCTTTTACATTATTCTTTTTCACAATTTTCGGGATGTTTTTTATTCTTTAAGGTTTAGCGAGTCCCTAATTCGTGCTTGTGGGGTCTCCCTCCCCTTTTTCTCGGTGTGGACTTACTTTTTTCCGCTCGGGAAGCGCAAGTGTGCGCGAGTTTTTCTACGGCGCTTTTCTTTCGTCGGTGAGTTGGTTTTTCTTCTATTTTTAAGTTACTAAGGTGAATGATGAGGAAACCTTCGTCCTAACAAAACATAAGCCCCAAACAAAAAATTGAATAATAAGCAAAATAAAAGTAAATAAAAATAACGCTCGGACTTTGGTTCCTTACAAGTTGTATAAGTTTCTAAAGCAGCTATGGTTTTATCTTTGAATACAAACACAATGGCTGCGTTCAACAGACTCAACAGTTCTGGAGCGGTTGAGTATTTTTCTGCTGAATGCCCTCTACAATAGCAGTGTTTAGGAACATGTTTGGTGTTTTGATGTCACATTCTTTCATTTACACTACCTACTGGTAGATGAAACTGAATGGCAGCTGCTACATACATCCTTATCTCCTTATCCTACATTATCCTTATGCTCCTGACATACATCACTTATCATTCAGCAGATGTAACTACATAACAGCTACCGAATCTCCTTTGCTCAGTTACAACTGTTGACTCTGCTGAACACAGCCAATATTAAACATTTTTAGAACAGTTTAAAAGGAAACAGGTTTTCAAGATAAACAAAGTTGTTTGAAAATCAAACAATTTTGTATATCTGTAATCAATACTTTAATTTTCTTAATTAAATGAAGCAAAATAGTTGAAAAAGCATGAAGTATTACTGTCTGAATATCTTTACTTTCTTTGATTTTATAAATCTGCCTTAATGATACTTCTACATTGTAGTTATCATCTGTTACATTTTGTTGATTTCTTGTTTTCCTTGTCTGTGATTTGTTTGAAAGATACTATAGAAGTGTGTACAAAATCAGACAATTATTTTAGAAATGTTTTCAATTTACCCTTTCTTTGAATATTGATTTAAAGAGATGTATCGTGTATGGTATTCTTTGAAGATGATTTAAACAAGATCAAAGAATCTGTATAATAAATTAATCCAAATTTAGAAGGCAATATTTGTTATATTTTAGTAATTTTAAACTAATTTCATGAAGATTCAGAACCACAAAAAAAATTCATTTTTGGTAATTTAGTTCAAACACTGCAAGTCTGGAATATATTATATCATAAAAATGCATACAATTTAACCTTAAAAGTAAAATTCCATAAAATTTTAATGCATGATGACCAAATCAGGATACTAGAAGCTCTCAGGATATTCAAATCTGAAAAGAAGGGCAATTGCATCGATTTTAAAAATGGAGAACAATTATGCCTGGCAATCTTTAATTTATACCAACAGGAACAGTCAATATAGAAAATTATTTACATATAAAAAAAAGTTTAATTTTCGTTATATGATTTTTTAAATAATCTTAAGAATGTTCCATTTTCATTCCACGTTCCATTTGAGAACGCTTTAACCTGAAGATTTCCTATGTAGATCGAAAACATTTGTGTTTATGTGCATTAAACTTTTCTGAAATTTTACTTTTAAGGTTCAATTGTGTACGTTTTTATGATAATTTAGTTACTGAATTTTCTTGCAAGTTTATTTGTGCAGAAGCCAAATAATGAGTATTGGCTTTGATATGCAAAAAAATGAATGTACAGATTTAAAAGATTATAGATGTAAACTTAAATATTGAATATAAATGTTGAAAATTTTGTAAATTTACTAAAATTTTAAATTATTTTTAGGGCATTGTTTCCATGTGGTGATTCAATGGTATGCATAATTGATGACAGAGAAGATGTTTGGAATTTTGCTCCAAATCTCATACCTGTTAAACCATATCATTTCTTTACTAACACTGGAGATATCAATGCTCCACCTGAAATGCATAAAAATAATAATGAAAATGGATTGTCAAAAATTGAGGAATCAGTATACAATATTAAGGAAGAATCTTCTATTAAAAGCGTTGAATCATCATCATCATCTTCATCTTCAGATACTAATAAAGATGATCAGTTATTACAAACTGCAGAAAGTACATTAGAAATTAAAAATGATGACTTGGAAGAACAAATTATGAATTTAATTGATCAGTCTAAGTTACCTAATGAAGAAGAACAGAAAATAGTATCATCAACTCAAGAAGCTGAAACTTTAGTTGCAACTAAAGAAATTTCAAGCGAAAATAGTGACACCCAACAATCAGAATCTGAAAAAGATTGTAATAATCAAACAGATATTAATTTAGCTGACAAAGAAGATTCAGATGATTATCTTTTGCATCTTGAAGATATTTTGAAAATTATTCATAAGGCTTATTATGATATGTATGATCAAATGAAAGCTCAAGGAAAAAATACAATACCAGATTTAAAAAATGTTATACCATATGTTAGAAGAAAAGTACTAAAAGGAGTAAATATTGTCTTCAGTGGTGTTATACCTACAAATATGCCTGCAGAAAGAAGTAAATTATGGATTGTTGCTAAATCTCTAGGGGCAAATGTATCTCCTGACATTGAATTTCCAGGTCAGTCTGGACAAAATGGGACAACACATGTTATTGCAGTTAAATGGGGTACAATAAAAGTCAATAAAGCTAGAAAAATAAAAGATATACACATAGTGACACCAGAATGGTTATGGAGTTGTGCTGAGAGATGGGATCATGTAGATGAAAAATTATTTCTTCTTTCAAAACATTCGGTAATTCCACGTCCTACAGCAACATATCAACCAAGCTCTTTTAAAGATAATTTTGACTGTAAGCCAGATTTCAAAGATAATAGGAGAGATTTTATTTCTGAACCAAATTTATATCCAGTATATGATCCTGTTACTGGGAAGAAAATTTGCAGAGATAACTCAAATGTAATTCAAAAAAATGGCAGGACTGATGGTTCTGAGATATTATCAGAATATGTTACCTCCAGCACTGAGAAGTTCTCTTATAGTCCTCTACTCTCTTTTTCAACCCAAGAAATAGAAGATATGGATAAAGAAGTAGATGATGCATGTAGTGAAGAGTCTGAAGATAGTGATGTAGATACTACAGTAACAGCCACACAAAGCCAAAATGATAAAAACAAAGAATCTGATTCAAGTTTGGAAAGTCTTACTGGTGGAGAATTCCCAAAGGGATGGAGAAAGAGAAAAAAATGTGATCTTAAAGATAACTATACTGAATTAAGTGGCATAATTGAAAGTGAAGAAGAAGAAAATGCAAAATTTCCACGTAGAGAACTTCCGTGTGATAGCGGAAAAAGTAATGAAAACAGTAGTGAAAGTGATGATTTTAATGAGTCAATTGGATCTGTTGATGAAGAAATGGCTGCTGCAGTAGAACGAGAATTTTTAAATTCCTGATAAGGATCACTGAATGTAATGACTTGTATATTTTATGTAAAATGTCATTTTAAACATTATACAAATCTATCATAATTTACTGCTTACTACTAAATATCAGAGATAAAGTATTAAGCAAGAAAGTTTTTTAATGAAAAATTTAATTCTTTATTTAAAATATATAAGTTATATATACATTTGAAAAGCATAAACATAACTAAAACTAAAGTTGTTTTAAACATTATTAAAGATGCCATTACTTTATTTTCAGTATGCATTTCTTCAGATTATATCTAAAATTATTAAATTCTTCTAAATGACATTTAGTTTTTATAAAATTGACAATTGTTTTGTATAATTTTTTTTCTTTATATTATGAAATTTTTCTGATTAAAATTAGAGAGAACTTTATTTAAATAAAATACAAGTAACAAATTGTTTTTGTAGGAATAAAATTTTATTAATAATCAAATATAAAATTTTGGATTTAAATGATTCATTCATGGATCAACAGAATCTTAGACACAGAATTCTTAAAATCAAGGGTCTAAAATTCAATTTTTGATTTAATAATTTCAATTTTATAAAATTTTCAAGCACACCATTCATTATACCATATTAATAGAAAATTTTATCTCAGTGGTAAGAGTTATTATGTTTAAATATGACTTTAGTGTATTAATTCAGTGACACACAAAATTTAGACTATTGCCAATGTGCTTAAAGTCTTAATACATGTATAAAACTACCAAAGAGATTCATCAACAAAAAAGAGAATTACTGATCTTATCTGTTTTACTACTAATCTACCATCCATGTTTTCAGTTTTCATCTTCAGTTTTATAGCTTTTATCATTTTATATTAGTTTTTATAAATGTGATTGTATATATATATAATTAAAAAGGAATTATTTATTTACATACAGTAATGCTGAAGACTTTAATGTTTTGAAATGCATTTCTGGATTTACAAATATTGTATACTTGTCTATATATGACAGATTGAAATACATTTATATGCATAATACTTGTTCAATTCAAATCCCCCATGACTCCATTTGTTTATTACTGTTAATTTTTAATATGGAATAATTCTCTGGTGACAAATTATAACTTAATTATCAATTTGTTATTCTCATTCATTTAATATCAATGTACAGTACGTTGGAATCCCAGTAAGGAATGCAGATTTCTATGCTGTTATTTAAAGTAGACACTAGTCTATATTACTTTCAGGCTATATTTTTAAAAAATAAGCTATAAAACAAATTTAAAATATTTCTAAAATTTATTTATAATGTAAATGATTGTGATTATATATATGTAAAATAAAATTATATATATAATATAGATAGTAATCCATAGTAAATCAGTTTTTCTGTGTTCAAAAGAAAAAAAAACATTGTAATTGTTTGAAATAAGACTTCTCTTTCAAAGACAAATTTATAACTCCAGAATGCACTTCAAAATTGACTATTATTCAATTGACTAATCTATTGCTTTTAGCCCTTAATGATATTTTATTTAACATATGCATTATTTATACACAGTTACGTGAGGGTTTATCACACCAGTGTGATAAACTTTCATGTATATATGTGCATAATTAATACAGATTTTAAATAAAAATTGACTATTATTGCTAATTCTAAGATGCATAAAATAGGTTTAGAAATACTTTCATATTATACAAAGGATTTTCTTTTATTTTCTATTAGAATTACATTTACTTCTCATACTGAAGTTATGTAAGATATTAGACAATGTAAGTTAAGTTCTTGTACTTTGAGAATATTCACTCTTATAGTCTAAATTAGTTGCATATTAGAAATTTTAATTTGCAGTTAATTCATTAAAGTTGTATTATTGTACTATGTAATAGTCTAGCTATATAAATATGTTAATTTTTCAGTATTGATGATTACATTTTATTCTCTCAAAAAATGTTATACATAATTAAAAAGCAAGAATAAGCTTAAAGATTTCATCTTTCTTGATTAATACTTTATCTATGACTCATAACTTCAAAGTTCATGATTTAGCTGTGTATATAATTTATTTTTTCTTGTTTTAATTAATGTTGTTCATTCAAAAAAGTTTTGCAATGTTTTAAATCTGATTGATTTAATATATTTGNACGCTATGTAACTTGCCCGAGATATCTTGGGTTATGGACTTATGTTAAAGCCAAACGAACTGCCGAATTATCGGACTATAAATTGGATTCCGCTATTAAAGCAGCCGAGGTAGACAAATCAAGAACACTAGAGAGAGAACTTTCTAAGTTAGAAGTTTGATTTAAGTTCATTTTTTCTTTAAATTTTCAACTGAATTCAAAGGCTTTTTTTTTTGTAAACAGTTTCCCAAAATCTTTAATATAAATTTTCAGAAATAGAAAAAATTTACATAATTCAGAGATAATTGTTAATGCATATTTTACAGAGCATTATTATTATTATTATTTTGGAAGTTGCAGGACGTATTAAATTACATATTAATGTTTATAGTGTTATGAAATACATATTTTATTAGAATAATAACTTGATGCCATAGCTTATAAATTCTAACATTCTATTTTATTAATATAAAATGTAAAATTTGATTTTTTTGCAAAGATTTTTTTGTGTTTGATATATTTCTTTAAATTTCCTAAAGAAAATTAGAATACATTTTCAATAATCACTGAAAATTTATATTTTTCAATAAACAAATACAGCTATTTAAAGAAATCAAAGTTTAAGTAAAAAAGAAACATTTTAAGATTTTTATTCAGACCAATTTCAGCTCAATGTCATTCACAACCAGTTCCAGAAACATTACTTAAATAGGTATATTTTTTTTAAACATACAAAATGGTATCAAGCCTTTAAAGTCCTGATGCTGAAAATTTATGGCTACAACTTACAATATTTTATTTGTGATCTCTGTCTATTACCTCAATGATTATATACAGTACTGTACATAGTCATGTGCAAATCATATTTATAATAACAAACACATTATTTCAACCAGAAATTTCTTTTGTGAATTTATAAAAAATATGTTTCTTAATCTATTCAAAACTAAAAAAATTATCTTTTACTTTTTACTAGTGAAACAACTTCACATTTTTATAAGCAGAACTTTAGCATTACATAAACTAATATACTGTGGACTCCACTTGTAATTGCAGATATTGTTATCAGTTAGCTGTTTCGTGTTATCAGAATTAGCAAGTCCCAAAGTATACACGTTAAAATACATTTATAAAACTCCATTTGTAATCAGAATTTTGGTAAATAAACATAATAGAGTGTTAATGTGCTTTAAATGTTAAGCATTGTTTTAAATAATTATTTATTTTTAATACAAGAATTTAAATTCTATGCTACTGATTAGTACAGAAGAGAAATTTTATTTATATTATTAATTCATATAAAAAATGGATGATTAACATATTTTTTGTTCTTATTTTATTATAGAGATGGAATAATTTTTTTAATTTGATAAAATGGTGAAGTTGATTGCATATTGTATTTTTTTTCTTATGTAATAATTATTGAAAATTATGTAATAATCATTTAGAAGTACATAACTTATAAAGTTTTAATCACAGTGAAGTCTGAATTTAATTTGCAGAAATGATTATTTTAGACATAATTCAGTCTGGAAGTTTCATTGAGTATATTGCACCATAACTATATTCTTGATTTACGTAGAAACGAAAACCATTCAGTTTGCATTTTCACATATGCTTTGTCACAAATTAAAAATTCTGAAAAATTTATGTAATCAATTTTACAGCCTAATTGTCTATAAGTTACTATTTATGCAAAATTTTAATAATAAAATCATTACATAGGATTGATAATTTAACAGCAGTTACATACAGTATAAATTTTTTTGAAAATTTTAGGTCTATTGGATTGGTTAGGATACACATTTTTACATAAATTTGATGCCACTTTTTAAAATTTGTTGTAAAACCGATGTCAAATTGACGTATAAACGTGCCTACCTCAACCAAACAGACGCTGTTCCCATTTGAAAATTAGAAACTTAGAAAGTGAGGATTAGAGAAATAGGTCAGATATAATAATCATCATATTTCGTTTTTTTTTATTCAGGTTATTACTCATCTGCTGAGATCAGAAACAATTCTATTGATAACTTGTTTGTTTCTGCTGAAAGTGCGTTATAAATGTTATCCTCATTTAACACAACATGCAAATTGAATTTCCCTTAGATAAATGATTTCAAAAATTTGCTGTAAACAGTTTTACTTTTATCAATCCTTTTTCATTACATATAATCATAATACACATTTGTTAAATGCTTATACCATATCCAAATAAATGAAACTGATCGAACTGTCGAAACTACGGTTTCTCTAATGGGATCCTGGTAATCCAGGCTGTTTTTTTAACCCTGGAAATCCCGAAAATTTCTTAAAAGGTTACTTTTTTCTTATTCTGTGTTAAGGATGAGGAAATTTTGAAAATAGAAAGTATAACTAACTCATAAACTGTCAGAATACCTTTTGTATTTATTAATTTTAATCCTGTTTATTAGTTTTTTAAATTTTTGCTTGTAATGGCATGTCACGGATTGTCAATAATCAATATGAAGCTTATTTAGGACAGGACTGAAAATTCTTGTCAGAATTTGTAATATCTTGAATAATTGCGCTGATGCGGTCTTAATTTTTAACCATGCCCAGTAGCTTGAAAAACTGCATGATGCTAGGTCGCAAGGATACAAACGAGTATGAAGTTTTTCTTCATAAACCTTAAGGACATTGACATTTTTGATATTTTATAATCATTAATTTAATTAAACGTAAAAAATACTTAGAACTGAAAAAAACGAAAAGAAATGCGTTTATTTTGAAGAAAAAGCTTCACATTTTATTTTCCTTTGTCTGGTCTTTCCATGAAATATAACAGGGATGGCTTTATTAAACTTATACCGTGTTTCCCCGAAAATAAGACAGTGTCTTATATTAATTTTTGCTCTGAAAAATGCGCTAGGTCTTATTTTCNGCGATGGATTTATATTAGGGTGACTACTAGTTGGCCGTATATTTTTAAATATTTTTAAAAAATTAAAATTTTTATTGCGATTTCCGACCTTCCGGCTTAATTAAACTTATACTGGTATATAATAAAATCTATTAATTAAAAAAATTAAAAAACTATTGGAGGTCGTTTTTGACATCAGAAACTAGTTTTAAATAACTTTACCGAAGGAAAATCGGTGCACTACAACTTTAGAACGATGAATGAAATTTGATATCAAACTCCCATTAAAAAACAATTAAAAAGCAATAAAGCGTGAAGCGCGCGTCATTAGAGGTTTTTTAAAATCGCGATAAAATTTTTTCGCGCGGGCAAAAAATTTGGGGACCTAAAAAACATTCCAAAAATTCAAAAAAAAATTGGGAGCCCAAACGCCCGCGTTTTTCGTAACGCTATGTAACTTGCCCGAGATATCTTGGGTTATGGACTTATGTTAAAGCCAAACGAACTGCCGAATTATCGGACTATAAATTGGATTCCGCTATTAAAGCAGCCGAGGTAGACAAATCAAGAACACTAGAGAGAGAACTTTCTAAGTTAGAAGTTTGATTTAAGTTCATTTTTTCTTTAAATTTTCAACTGAATTCAAAGGCTTTTTTTTTGTAAACAGTTTCCCAAAATCTTTAATATAAATTTTCAGAAATAGAAAAAATTTACATAATTCAGAGATAATTGTTAATGCATATTTTACAGAGCATTATTATTATTATTTTGGAAGTTGCAGGACGTATTAAATTACATAAAAAATGAAAAATAATTTTATCATTCCATTTCGAGATTTATTTTATATCTTAAAAATAATTAATTATATCTCAGGATTTTCCGGGATCCCGGGAAACATAACTTTTTTCTCGAAATCCCGGGATAAGCAAAGGACCGGGAAATGAGAAACCCTAAATGCTAGGTCTAAATTTACTGGTGTTTGTTAAATATGTAGGGATTAAACCATAGTTTTTTCGCCAAATGGAGATAACTCAAAGTTGGTTATAAGTTTCGTTGAAATTCTCCAAAAGACGAATTGAAAAGTACAAAGGTTTTAATTTAAAAACATTTGAAATATTATTTCTTATGTATAATTAGCAGCAACGATTTCCAACGGATTGTAACGAAGACAATAGTAAAACTCCAGTGATACCATTCACAGATGCTCTTATCAATCCTTGGATAACAGAATAATTCATCTTTGTTTCTGAATGTTGTACCGTTTATGTCGCTGCTTTGATTATTTTATTAATTACATATATAACAATGTAATGTTTAGTACCATGCTGAATATTCCTTAGTTTAATTAAGGAGTAATTTCGGGGTATCTGCGACAACGTTACAGAGGGTTGGAGTTGAAAAGTATAAAAATTGAGTTGTGTGATTTATGAATGATTCTTTATGCAACCATTTACAATTAACAGAAAAACGCTAATATTGTTTTTCGGTATTCCCAGCTGTGTTTTTTTTTTACTTTTACATAATTTTTATACTGCAAACTACAATGCTCACAAACTTGTGCTGCTTTATTCGTGTGTCTGCATTAGATCCTTCTATTTTCGTTTCATTTTGATAATCTTTTTTCGTCAAAGATAGTCTATAGAAAATTGCTTCTAATCTTTTATACCATTAGTAGGCTATTATACCAGTAGCGTGCCGTCATTGGAAG